GTCCACGACACCGCGCAGTCGTCGTGGATTGTTCTCGTTCCGTCGGTTCGGGTCCGCACAAATCACACGCGCGGGTCTGCGGGGCGGCGGCGGCGGCCGAACGCGATTGTTTTATTACAGTTTTACATTCGCGGTACACGGGTGATAACCTGTGGCGGATACGCGCGTTTAGAATATAGAGAGAGAGAGAGAAAAAAAAAAACGAAAATAAATACGTTTTCACCTTTTTTTATTTTTTTTTCTCTATACGTACGAGTACAACACTGTTCGAATTGCGTACATGTGCGCGCGTGTGTTTCGAACGATTATACACCGAGAAAATTACGGGCAGGTACGTAGCAGTACCGGGTGTGCGGGCGCGCGCGTTATGATACGATGGCTGGCGGCGGCCATCGCAACAGTTCACACGATTATTCACACGCAAACGACAATAGTAACGTGATAATAATTCGCCCGACCTCAGCAACAGGATATTATTTGTGTTGCTGAGTAGGTACGTCAAATAGCGCGTAGGTGGTTGAAACCGAATTATTTAATAGGCGAGGCGCGGCCGACGATGACGACGGCGATCCCGGGAGGAGGCGCGCTCGCGTTTCGTGCACCGTGTGCGCGCACAACACGTTATACAGGGCGATTGTTTTGTCACGCGCCCGCGCCGGTTCCCGAACTGTGACGCTCACGGCAAAACGGACGTGCCCCGCGAGTACGGACACGTTTTCTCGCGCCGTCGTCCACGAATCGGTAGTACGCGAACGTTGTACAACAGACGCCGTTTATAATGACGCCGGCCGTAGCGACATATCGGGTGTAATGACCCGAGACCGGGCCGCGATGTCTCCCGTATTGTACGAACACTCGATTGTTACGGACGTCCGTGTGTAACGATGCGGATGTTGTGCCGGCTAGAGAAAATCTGTTATCTACGTCTGTTAGCTCTATCAGCAATACAACAGTTGACAATACTAAATATTGTAATGTTGTTTAGCGAAAACCAAGATAACGGATTTTTCTAATACGACGTACATTTTTAATTTTATAAACAATAAAAACAAATCGTTTTTATTTTACTATTTTTTTTTTTCTGTACGTATCCGGAAATCACGATATAGTAACACAAATGAGACACATTGATTGTAACGGCGCAATGCTGTACGGAAAATAACCATCGTCTTTTTCGCGCAAACGCATACAATTAAGCGCGCGCTCGGGATTTAATATTTTAAAAAAACAAATGCGCGCCTAACATATTTTTTTTAAATATATTTTGGTGGAAAATCTCGCAGGGGCCGCTTCCTCCGTGCCCTACGTTTATACTTGTACTTTCCTTCCCGGTCTATTTTCGAGTAATTTTAAGCGTTTAAAAAATAATTGTTATTACATTTTGTTCAATTAATTACGAAAAATGTACACAAACATGTCCACCTGAATATCACTTTCTGTACGGCATAGGTTAGGTTAGGTGCTTTTGTTTTGCTGTCCAATACTCACGGGATACCAACGATTGGGTTAAGAAGAATGCTGTATTTTAAAATTGGAGGGAGGCGGGGAAATGTACGTGATTATCAATTGTGTGTACATTTGTAAATATTATTCAATACTAATACAAAGGTGGCCAAAAGTCGCGCAACAAATTTGCAACACAGTTTTTATAAAACCGTTGTTTTTTATGTTAAATATGTTGTTTTTTTTTTTTGCTGTTGTTGTACGTAAACAAGATAACGAGACCAAAGTTACAGTATGACGTAACGGAAACGACGTGGAGGGAGAAACTGTGCCGTAACGCGCGTTCCATACAAGACGGTAGGCGTTTTGCGACTTTTGACCACCTCTGTATGTATTTACGAATAATAATAAATAAATAAAAGCCGTAGTTATTTAAATAAGTTATAAATTATAATATGAAAAAAGGACGGGCGCATAGTTCACATGTGGGTACACTGTACAGCCACTGTTGTAGGTAGATAGTTGGGAGGGTAGGTTACAGACGGGAATTTAATGTGTATCTGTAAGCAAAGATAAACCATTCCTAATGAAAAAACGATTCTGAACCGAGTTCAGTCGATAGTGTTTCTTCGTCGACAATACAATATATGATATTATGGTAAAACGATCAAAACAATGTACGTTTCCATGACAACAATTATTGTTTAAAAAAGATTAAAATAATAAAAACTTAATACCTAATAACAAAAAATTAAATAAAAACGGTTGCCAATAACAACCATGCCATGCCATGACTTTTAAAGTATCACCCAGAGAAAATTTCCTTTCGGAAAAGTGCTGTACTTGATAATTGGAGTATGCTTTTTTCCGGTAGAAAAAGTGTTCGAATAAAAAAAAAGAAATAAACATCATTGCAAAACCAATACATTTCTCAATCTACTCAGAATCTAAAATGCAATTGCCTAAATTCCAGAATTTAAATCCAAATATATTGGTAACGTAACACTATGTATATTATGCTAAATGATATCAGAAAGCTAAAAACAGAATGCAGTGACTAATTAAACAAAATTTCACTGTAACGTCTGTGTTCGATTACTGAGTACGGTGTGGATACCGTACTTTATTAGTACACTAGTACATTAGATATATTTAAGTACGTTAGTTGGTGACAGCAGCTGTGATTCAAACTCAAAAATAATATTCAAATTCCAAGATAAACACTGGTGATGGTAATTTATAGTAGTCATGCAATGATAAACTATTATGGTTTAAACTAGATTTGAATAAAAAAATACAGTATTATTTTA